TTGATGAAAAATTTTATTTTAAAAAAAAAATTGAGTGAACTCCCACCTTGCCTGGGAAACTGCCGGGGAAACGCCGGAAAAGGTGTTCCTGAGTATTCTTTTTTAAGCCTGCCCCCCGGACCCCACCCCCCCCCCCCCTCCCCCTAGGTAGCTCGCACCTTCGGCGTTTCAAATATATTTCCACTACTTTAAAAAAAACTGTCGACCCTGACCCTGTTATACCCTTGAAATTTAATGAATCTCTAATGATGTGACCATTTATACTGACGAAACCTGTTTGGCAGTATTTTCATTGGATACCAAGCGTTTTCAAGTATAGTCAACCCCGTTAATACGGATACTGAGGGGGCCATAAAAATTGTCCGTAATAACAGGGTGCCCGTATCAAGCGGGTTGAATTTAAAGGAAATTCTTTCCCCACGAACAAAGCAACTCCGTAATAATGGCGTGACTGTGTCAAGCGGGTGTTCGTAAAACGGGGTTCCTTTTTAGGCAGACAGGCCTTACGGACAAAACTGTGCAACAGCTCCCCTTTAATTTTCCCAACCCCATTCCCCGACAAAAAGATCACCGCTCATACCCTGCTGCCCTTGAGATATGGTGATGCAATATCTTCCTCACTTCAAAGTCTGCTGGACGAAATTCTATGATCTGACCATTCATGTGAAACCTCTTTGGTAGTATTTCACATGTTGAAATGTTTTCCAGTTTGAGAAAAATACATTTTTCGATTTGTCACAACACGAGGATGTTCCTTACCATCGCTCCTCCAGCGGAAGGGTTAAACAGCTGTTGGTAGACCCAGGGATCCCAGGGAACCATATACCCAACTAACTTCCGGTTCTCGTCAGTCAGACCACTTAACAGCTCAGCCGCACCGCTGACCCATTGATCTTCGTCAACAGCAGGGGTTTGAGTAGGAATAGGAAGTGGAAAGGATTTATCCGGACTCACATCCGGGCTAGGCAGTAAATATTTTTCCTGTAACAAAGAAACATATGTGGTGAAGTAAAATAAACGTAGAAGCACTTAAAACCGTACAATTAAGTAACCCAAAGTATGACGATTCGCAGCCTCCACCCCCCCATCCCCCCGCCAAGAGGAGGAATATAATTACTCTGTCTCCCCCGGATCAGATGTTAGTCTATTTTTTTGCGGGGGGGTGGGGGGAAGTGTGGACGCTATAACTAGCAGTATCGCCACGACCCATTCATGCAACAGGGTGAAGGGACCACATTTCACGCAAAGTTTATGGTTCATGGAAATGTCAGTGTGACGATGTACCCATTAAAACAGCTGGGTCAATTGAGACCGCGTGGAACTGTAGTAACAATGTAATCATTTATACACATAGACAGCTTGCAGTCCGCTTTTGTCTTAAATCCGTCGAGTTCTCAGGCGGAGTAAGGGCGTAGGCACTAAACACGCTTTTAGCCAAAAAGGGAGTGACTTTAAAAAAAAAATACTGAAGAGACTGCTCGCAATCTATTATTCGGCCTCATGGGCTATTGACTCAGAGGCCATTCGGGCTCGAGGAATAATTGTTTTAGTAAAATCCAACTAGTTGGTCAAAAATATCAAGAAAAAAAAAATAGCGAGTTAAAAGCTAGACTTTAAGCCTTTTTTGCCGCCAAAAAGCGCGCGGTTTTCGCTACTAGGGGGCTATAACATATAGCCTAGTAGTAGCTCAACCAATCAGAACGCAGCATTGATAATAGACCACTAGTTGGATTTTACTAAAATGGAATAGCCTCCCACCCTCGCTTCCTCCTGAAATCAAAGATGAAGCCGCGCGAAGGCCAAAGCACACCATTTCCCCTTATTTTTTTTAGGAGAGTGGAAAGGGTGATCTAGATTAGCAGTCTGTTTCGACCAAGTTTTCAATCCTGGACCGAATAGAAGCCCAACGCGCCATCCAAGGCTCGAACGTTAACCATTTATTTCGTTATCTACGTTAATGCAGTGTTCAATAAAAAGCTACCTACTGGGAAAGCTGATTTATCACTTTTATCAGAGGAAACATCTTTTTCTTTTGGCTTCCCTCCTCTACGCTCTTCCTCCCTGCTCTTAGAGAACTCCAACTCGCTCAACTCACTACTGTCGTAAGACTCGTCACCAGCGGCTCTTATAATTTGATCTTTCAAATTGATCTTCGGAGGCCGTTTTCTTTTTCGCCGATCTCTTTTGCGAGACTTTGACGAAGATGAAGGCTCTGTCTTCGACGACGGCTCAACGAATGAGGATGGCTTCTCTTCTTGCGACAGTTGTCCCTTCTCTTCGGCACTGGAAACAACTTTCACCTCAGAACTTGTTTGTGGAGAAGGATTTTGTTCTGCAGTCTGAGAGTAATCTGTGTCGAGAAACAGAAATGTCATAAATGCTCCATTTCAAGATATCGATAATATCGATGTGATTTCTTAAACCTACGGTAAAATCGCTTTTACAGGGTTATAATTTAAAAAAGGAAAGAGAAGAAGAAGAAAATATTACCACGCACTTTCTCTGACTGAAAAAATAAAAAAAAAAGGAACGAGTGACCACCCCCCCTCCCCCCACCACTCTAAAAGACCCCGAAATTAGCAGTAACGAAAAGCACGATTTTGCTGTACAGAAAAAAATAACATACAATGTAAAAGTACTGCTAAAGCGTTCTGTTTGAATGATTTCGAAGGATTTCGTCCTTAGCCTCAAAGCAGTAAAGAAGTAGTCTATCACAGGCATTCATAATAAATAGACGTTTTTATAGTAAAAATATACTCAGCACAAATAAAGAGTGTGATTTTCAAGTCACCTATATTTCGACCGATTATACTGGCCTTCATCAAGGTGTATAATATTTTATAAGACTATTGAGCTTGAAATCTGCGAGAACTTTTAGAATATTTTAAGAATAAGCCTGGGGCTGAGATTTTGAAAAGAATATATATCTAAACGGAAAAAAAAAACTAGCCAACAAAACGAAAAAGCCTGCATAAGTTATAGCCATAACTACTGCGAAGCGTGACAGAAAAATAGCCTTTCCGCTTAAATGAGCATATAAACATCGCATTTTGCCCAAGTTAGATCAAAGAAAAAACAAATAACAAGTTAAAGCTTTTTATCCCTCTCCTAAACTATAACACCTTACAAGCTAAAAACATTTTAGAGAAAGTTGGGACGACTTAAACGCAAAGGCCACCTTGAATTATGTACAAGTTAGCGACGCCGTTATTCGATGCATCCAAAAATAGATGACGTCACTTTGAATGTCGAGTGGGGGTTTTTCCCTTTCTTAAGAGCAATTCGTGATAAATTTACATAAAGTTTGCAATAACAATTCTGTATTACTACATTGTAGCTACCTACTTTCGATTATATATATATATTTTTTATTTTTCTTTTATATTTTCTTTGATATAAACTTAAGATTATTGTATTTAACGTAGTAATATCCAGACGCTGAACTGTCGCTTTTGTCAGCAGGCTTTTCGCTTCCTGAATAAAAGAGGCAACTGAAGTGTGATTCAAAGAGAAAAACGATGTGGATAATTACAATTATAGTATGTTCCGTATATGTACAGTAGAACCCCAGGAACTCGAACTCTGAAGGGAAACGAAGAACAGTTCGAGTTAGCGGGGAATTCGAGTTATCGGGGTAAATTTCAGTGAAGTTTTGATCAAGGGAAATGAAATATAGTTCGAGTTCGCGGGGTATTCGAGTTGTCCGAGTTGGAGTTGACAAGGTTGTACTGTATTTACCCAAAATTTTCCGAGGACTGCGTGATATCAACTATTTACTATGCATGGCACATTAGGTTGCACCATTTACTGGCGTTCTGTTGGCGAGACACGGTCGCTTGTGAGAGATTATTCTAAAAACAAATGCATGGCTAGCTGCTTTAAAATAAAATAAAAAACGTCTGTTCAGCCGCATGACTGATGACACGAGAAATTCTACTCGCCAAAGCACACACGCATCAACGATTCTCGCCCCGTGGCTTATATTAAAATTGTTGCTTTTATATTACTCTTCCAAAGTACATCCAACATATTTAAGGTAACTCCATGTGTGTCCATATTGCCGTAATAATAATAACAAAAAAAGCATTTGATCTGTTTACTTCCAATCATTAACGACAGAAGTAAAACAAACTTAACACCACTACAGTGAACGCGCATGCGCGCGCGAGCGAAGATGTCAAGAGTTTAGAAACCTATACCACAAGGAAAAGCCGTCTAACTTCGACCAATATATATAGCTAGAATAAAGGTATACATTATCGAGGTCCGGACTTGGGGAGGGTTATCTACTACTTACAAATCAGTTGATCTCCCCCCTCCCCGCTCTTTGACCTCATCTTTTGCTTTTAATAACTAAGAAAAATTCTATTTTACGATTAAAAGTGAAGATACTAAAACAACCAGCTCTCATGCGAATTCTACCTGCTCACTGTGGCCAACAGTTTGTCCGTTATTGAACATACCGACTTCAGAAATTCAACGGTTGTGTTCTTTTATAACTTTATTTATATATTTTTGGTTAAACTCCTCAGGTAACTTGCCTATGTGATTTTGCAGGTTTAGTGCTTCATTTCATCTATGAAAGTCCTCATCTTAAGCAAAAGCGAAGCCTTAGGACTAGAAATTTCTCCTGTAAATAAATTGATCAAACGATCTCCTTAAATTGCCGCTTCTGGCTCGTTCTCTCCAATCGCAAACTAAGTTTCAAAACAGGTTTCCTAAGGTTCACTTGAAAAACCGCCGCCAAATTTGCTCTGTATGATATAATGTTATGAGTTGGAATCACTTCACATCGCTGTTTCTTGCGTGATTAAAAACAGCTAATTAGAAATGCGACTTTGAAAACCTAACAGAATTTAAACGCTTGGAGCCACGTTAACGCCATCCAATGGCACAACTGAAAGTTGACAAAACACAAGAGGGTGAGCTATAGACGCATTTTTCATCAGTAAATGTCTAGATCCCTTACTTGAAGAATAGACCTTAACACTGTTTTAGAAGCCATATTACCACGGTTTTCTCTCTATATAAAGGTAACCTTTATATATGTAGAGAGAAAACCGTTGACATAAAAACTCATAAAACGGCCATAAATCGGCCCGTGGACCACACAGGAGAGACGTAACACACATTTTAAGTAAGGTAAGCTGTTTTTGCATTAAAATCCTTTCATTTTCGTAGGTTACAGAAACGGTAAGTTTTTTTCCCATACAAATCCTTATATTTTGAATGTTACGCAACAATGCCGATGCTCGCCGATGCTCATATTTCGAGCTTGGGCTACCTGTGATTATTAGGCAGTTGAGGACGTTACCTGCGCTAGAAACACTTTTTAAAATTTTCTATAGACTTGTCTGTAATGTTTTGGCCTACCGACTAAAATTTATATTGGAAAAATTACTGACAGATTTATGCAAAGACTAAAGCAAGCGACTGGAGCAAGCGACGGCCCCTAGAATTTGTTAGTAGAATCCCATGCTGTGTGGCTTTAGTTTACAATTGCTACTTTCTTCAGAACAGCCGCTTTACGAAAATTATTCGACTTAGATTCTCGTACAAGCACTGTTATTTCTCATTCGGTTTCCTACCCGACAAAATAGCCTCCAAAACCTAGGTTTAGGCCTAAACTCGCCAATGTTCAACTAAGAAGTTTATCATCCTTGCTTCATGTTTAGAGAGGAGATATTTAGCTGTTGGTTCTGGGTGCAAACAGCTCATATCCGCTCGCTTCAGGCCGATGTCTCCCAAGATTTCATTTTGTTTTTGGACTACCGGCACGGGGACTGTTAACTTATCAAAATTAACATTTTGCTTAATTTCACTGTCAAAACTGGAGAATCATGTGTAAAATCTCAACTTTCGATAACCTGGGGGTCAAGTTTTACATTGATCCGATATTTCCGTTTTACAAACATAGCTCACTATCTCTTTTGCCTGCTGATTATAATGTTCAGGAGAAAAAAACCGAGTTTCACAGTCGAGCCCTTCTGGCCTCATAAATAGACAGTTTTAAAAAAAGCACCCGTTCGAGGTTTTCTTTAAAAAAAACTAAAATCTTGCAAAAGAAAAAAAAATAACAATAATAATTGAGCGGACCACCTGACACCAATTGGTGGACCACCTGATTCATTATAAATGTATGCTGTGCATAAATTACGTCATCACTGAATGTAGAATAGGGGTTTTTCCCTTTTTCAGAAGATTCAGATTATTTTACATATTTCGTTTCTTATGACAATATGACACTGAATTATCTTCCCAGCCAGACACATAGAATCACGCTACCTATTTCACCCATTTTTCAATTATTTATTGTATTTCTTCGTCAAAGAGGATAGGATTCTTCTCTTGCTAAAAACATGCTAGCTTTTTATGTGCTTTCTACTCAAAGTTTTTCCAGAGGTGTTATCCTTGGGAATATATCAGTTAGAACGTAGTGCTTCACATTACAATCTAGTGCTGTTCTATACTAACATTAAAATGCTTTAGCGCTTCTTAACTTCGAACATCGCCCTTCTTCTAAATCACAGAGAGAGAGACAAAGCCGCGCTATTTTACCGGCAGCCCTAATGACAACTTTAAAATGGCCTTACTCTTTTTCCTCGCATTGCTTACTCCATTGACGGAATCATATCTTTGCATTTTTGTAGTTCAGCTGTTGTCATGAACGCCAACTGTGTTACTTTTGCAATAAAAGCTACCGACCAAAGCCATCTTATATCTGATATTCTACGTACGCAACAAACTTCCATATGTTGTAGAAAGACTAGAAGCGACGCCTTCTTTTTCACTCCGCGTATATTAATACGCTACCAAAATCGGAATGCAGTTTTTCCCTTTCACACGGTTGCGCGACAAGTTACGAAGAAAGACTGCTTTGTTTACTTGGCCTTAAAGTCTATTTGCCAACAGAAAAGCGCTCTTACAAACTGGTCTATTATTTTTTACAGTAAAAGCGAAGACTAAAAAAGTTAGTGGAAGGAATAAAATGCCAACTTTTCTCCGTTCGCTTTATCGGCTTTGAAAGATGCAGACTGTCGCATCAGATCTTGATTATGGGAGTACATTCGACACCTTTTCATGGTTGAATAAAATATAATGTGCCCATGAATTCGGTTACGTTGTTTCGAGAAAAAATCGTGGTATCGATTGAACACTAGGAATCAATACAAATAGCAATGCCGCAAAAGATGTACACGATGAATTGGATTAAAAATTACGAGAAAACCAAAATGCCTTTACCATTTCTTATGGCGTCTGCACCGGTGAACTTTTGTAGAAAATCGAAGGGGAAGAAAATTAGAGGGGACTGAATCGTTCACCACCTTTTAAAAGAGACACGTTCTAAAATAAAATGCAGTAAGAGGAAGTTCGAGCCATTCAAAACTTACGAAAAGTTACACGCAAATCAAGTCTCCTAACTCTCACAAGTTCGGTCAAGCTCCCAGTCAACAACTTAACAACAAACTGCGCATGCGCTCAAGAAAGGGTTACACATTTCTTCCCACATGGGCAGCTGTGCTCAGTGCGATCATTATATATATGTAGTTTGACACTAACATATATCGAGGTCCGGAACTCAGGGGAGGGTTATCCCTCATTAGTACTTCGGTACGCCCCTCCCCGCCTTCATTGACCTCATTTTTGCAAGAGAAAACTCTTACTTCTCAACAAAAACCCGAATTTTTCAGAAAACTATGTTTGTTGTCTATAGAGCGTGAAAATGAAATCGCTTGTCCGGAAAATCTGGCACGCTCACTGCAGATCGTCAATAACTTTGTCAGCAACGTCTGCGGCAAATTCCGGTTCAGTGGCATGAGAAAGAAGATAACATTGTTAATCTATGGCTATCACTGCATTTAGTCCCTTGAAAATCAAGCAAGAACCCTACGTTCACGATGGACGGTCTTAGGCTGTATCTTTATAGTTTTAAACGAAAATTTAGCAGTTTAAAGGCCAAAATTGTAAGTAGTGTTGAACAGTCTTCGAGCAATTTATAGCAATGAAGTGACAATGTTGCACAGAAATTTGTTCATTATAGTAGTTATGAGCAAAAGAAAACTTAAAAGTTTTTAAAGCAATCTATAATGAGTTAAATAAAATAGCTCAAGTCATGCATCCTCACAACAAACTTAGAGTTTTGTAAACAATTCATCAACCGCGATTTGACTTCGACGGTTTTATCACGCTTGTGGTAAGTAATGCATAATAATTTCACGGGCTTCGAACAGGTTGCATTTTTCCACGATAAACATTGAATACATTTTTCCCGCTTGTAGAGCTCCGTCGTGAGCTTTGATTGGTTAATTCAACAACACGTTGAAAACATAGCAGTTTGTGTTAACGTCTTTTCCAAACAAGAGAAAAGTACTGCAAAAAACTATTACAACTGACCTTCAAGACGTTCGGGTTTGAGATTTGCAAGCCGACATTTCACAACTTGTCCAGGCTGCGACAGAAATTTCGTCACAAGCGGCTTGACATCTTTGACAGAGACCCACTCGGAACTCCCAAAGTCAACGTGAAACACTCGCACATCCCAAAGAGCAGACACTGGTCCTTTCTTCTCGTCTACTGTATGACGTGAACTTGTTACCAGGCCACGGTACCATCTCCCGTCCTCGCTGAACCGCGCACAGCAGTATTCGCCTACCTTGGGCTGGTAACCATTCCTTGGCGCGCAGCTGTCTGGAAACGGGTCCCCTGTTGGGAAAGGAAAGTGGTAACTGGCAATCTAAATTTCGAAATGTGACCAATCACACAAAAGCTACTGAGCAGTACTTTCCTGTGGTACTATTAACTATGCTGTACGAGGGGATTCTAAGTTTAGCAATTGAATAAAATCCTCTGGTGCTGTTTATTATGCTGTACATAGTGGTTCTGACTTTTGAGTCTGTAGATAAAATCCTGAAGTGTGACCAGTCAAATGAAAGCCATTGAGCAGTACTTTCCTGTTATACTGTTTATTATGCTGTGGAAGATGGTTCTGACTTTTGAGTCTGTGATTGGTGAATAAAATCTAAAGTGTTACAATTCAAAACCGTTTCGGTGAAGGCTACTGGGCAGTACTTTCCTATGTTTTTGGGTTATTACGCTGTACAAAGTGTTTCTTACTTTTGAGTCTGTGGATGACCTCCAGAAGTGCTACCTCAACATTTCCTGTGAAAAATAGTTACATGTAACTACCAACTTACCGTCATAGAACTTGTTAAGTTCATCCATCATAACATCAAGGAGTCCCGCATCTGGCGTGACAAGATGTACATAGAACTCGCTGGGGCTCACCACATGGGACATAAGCATCTGAAGGCACACTGGGCCATCCATGGGTGGGAGCTCTGTGATGAACGACTCTTCAGGACCCGACGCAGGCTGGAGCTCTGGGAGCACTGTGACGTCTAAGCGACAGAGAAGAAAAGGCCTATGAAAAGTGGTTACAACGGACGTATGCTTTTCTTAGCCCTCCAAGAAAACCGGCTCACCTAAACAAGGATGGAATACTTAAGCACCATCTATACAAGCCACAAGTGCAATAACAAAGAAGTCCTTTACGGAACACTTTCCCTTTCAAAATTGCTATTCAAAAAGACAAAATCATATGAATATGAAAAATCTCAGCAGCGACCATTTCGTTTTCCAGGTGTAGGCTTAAAAATTAGGACAAGATAAGTACTAAAGGTTTATAACTTCTTGCGTTTCTGGGCAGTGTCATCGTTTTTTATCGATTTCTCACAAGTATCTCTGCAATTCTCTTTCTTTAGACCTTTTCGTGATTTGAAATATCGACAACTATAGTTTCATTTTTCCGCTGGTGGTTTCTGCTAACGAATAACGATAGCAAGTATCTTACCGTTCCGCACGATGTCATTGTCATCAATGTACTTTTCGTGATTTTCTCCTTCCAAATTAGGTTCAGAGCCTGAACAATCATCAGTTCCTTGTTCCAGTGGGCTTTCCTTTTTTATGTAATCATCTTCAGAATTTCCTTTCTCTTGCATAGATTTATCTTGAACCTCTAAGCTATCATCCGCTACTTTCTTCGCAACATGAACAGCTCTCTGCAAAACAGTGTCTTTGGACGAAGTAGAGCAAGTTGACGTGTCCGTATTCGCACTCTCGTCTGTCCATTTCTTCTCACATTTTTCATTTAGAGCCTCGCAATTCTGGCCAACAGCCACAGCACTATCATGAACACTGCTTTCAATACTAACACTGCTTACGCTGCGAGGTAAAGAATCGCAACTTGCCGCAGATAACGGACTTGAACTGGCGGATCGACTGCTGCTATCCTTATCAGGAACTGAAGGTGCGATTCTTTGAGCCAAACCAATATGTATCATCATCTCTGCAATGCTGTACTGCAATTGAGGGAGGCCTTCAGATTCGCCCTGCGACGAAACAGAGCTCCTAGCGTTCCTACTTTTTGGAGGGGACACAAAGAGGTCAACGATTACGAGCTTGCCAACTTTCACTCTGGTCGGGAATGCCGTTAATTTCACTCCGGAAACTCTACTTTTCAACCAGGCAATAGATTCTTCGCTCCAAATTGATGATTTGAAACCTGAAATTCAGAAAAAATCCCAACTTGACAACAACAACAACAATAATCTTTATTGTGCTCTTGATACAAAAAGTGTAAAGACATTAAAAGGAAATAATTGTGAAAAAAAAAAAGAGAGCACAGCCACTCAGAAATAGCAAGAGGTAATCGCGCTGAGTGGCTGGGCCACGCGGAAAAAGTAACTAGATATCGAACTTGTTATAAATAAACAAATGGACACAAAGACACACAAAGAAGAAATATATAAGCTGTAATAAATAAGCAAATACACAAACGAATAAATAAAGAAGCAAGACAAAACAACCGCTGTACACACAATTAGCTGCATATAAAGTACACCAATCAATTAAATTTGGAGTTGACAGATTCTTTTAAAAGCTTTTTAAAGCGAAAACGACTCGCTGATTTTAGATCTTCTTTAATAGCATTCCAGAGTTTAGCCCCAATGAAACGGATATTAAATCAATCTTATACACGTATGTGTACCTGGTGCATTTGGTTGTGTTGGGTTTACAGGTCTAACGCCTGACAGCGCGCAGCACAATGCTTGACAAGGCAGCTTGGAAAATTTCTCTTCAAGCGGTCGAAGGCGGGAAAGATCAAGCTTTTCACGATTGCCATCGTCTACAGAGAGCACTGCAACTATAGGACCTGATGATTTAAAACTTCAGTATCATTCTCTATATATGACTGTATTCAATATCATCTGAAGAGCTGAGGTTGTTTTACGTTCCTTCCAGTCACAAAATTAATTCCACTTTTATTATTTTTGCTTGTCTTGGTTTCATTATGTGACTACGTGATGCAGTTTGAGTGCCCTCATTTCACCCTTGTTCGCCATCGAGTTCCGTTAGCTCAACAGTGGTTAGAGCATCCGACTAGATCACGGAGGGTCGTGGGCTCAAATCCCATCTGGTGCTGGGATTTTTTCCGAGTTCCATTTGACGCAAAAAACGTATCAAGTTCTATTATTTTTAATAATGTTTTTAATGACATTGACTGTGTAAAGGAAAAAAGCGAAAACAAACAAACAACATCAATTTAAGAAAAGAAAAACAGAGAAAGAAGTGTTTCGTATAATACAGAGCTTTTTCACTTGCATGGCCAACACCTACTGGTTGTATTCAAATTTTTTGAAACAAAAGAAAGCGTTTACAAACGAAAAGACTTCAACTCCCACAGAACTGGCTTGGTACACTAACACGAAAGCTATTTCTCTGTTTGGGAATATCAATGTGGCCGCCGTGACGAACCATTATTGTGCAGTTTGCAAATTCAGAAAGATATTCGCTAATTTAGACCTCATTCCACTTATATGGTATGAATTAACTTACTGAATATACAGTGACCAATACATTGTACATTTTAGTAAATGTATATGGCAGTTAATAGGGTTTCTAAACCATCCTCATGTGTTTAACTGTTTTCAGAAGTTGCTCCTAGCCTGCAAGAATGTTCAAACCTTTGTCAGATTCCTCTATGGCTGTTACTAAGACCCTGTACCAAGTATCATCCTGAGTAAACTTAGCACAGCAGAAGTCTCCAACGGAAGGTGGTAGGCTAAGGCCTCCCTTGTAACCAGCAGCTGCCAGTTTAGCATAGTGCATACTGCAATGGTAAATCAAACACCAAAATGATTAAAGACGAGGAAAGGGGGAGAAGAAAGGAAATGGGAAGTGGAAGAGAAGAGATCTTGAAAATGGAAGAGAGACAGGAGGCATGAGGAGGGAAGAAACAGTAGAGGAATGAGGGAATGGAAGAAAAGGGAAGGGAGTGGAGGGGATGCATGCAATAGACTTGGAAAGGTAAAGGGTAAAGGAATAGAAAGAAATGGAGGAGAAGAGAAGGAGGTGGATGGGGTGGATGGAAGGAAACAAAGAGAAGTGAAGGAAAAGGAGTCAAAGAAAGGGATGAATATGTAGGGAAAGGAAAAAAGTAAAGGGTTAGAAGGAAAAGGAAGAGAGAAGAAAGGCTCAAAGGATGGAATTTGTGTAGAAAGGTTAGGAACACGGAAAAAGGATGCAAGGAAATGGATAAGAATAGAAGGGAGTGGATGGAACGGATGAAAAGAAACATGGTAAAGGGATGCAAGGAAATGAATGGAAGAGAAGGGAGGGGGTTAATGTAAGGGATGGAATTTGTAGGGGAAGGAAAAGAGATGGAAGGAAATAGATGTGGAAGAGAAGAAAGAAAGGGAGAGACAAAGAGGGATGGTAAGGTATGAAGCAATGGAATAGGAAAAAGGGAAGGGAATCAAAGGAAATGGGAGAAAGGGAGCAATTGGGATTCTGTAGCACAAAGGTACAGTAGTATCAAATGGTCAAACAACTAAAAATTAAGTTCTTCCTCCAACCCTTCCCTTAGTACAATGTCCTCCTATAGACATCACCATTAAGGGTGGATTTCCACTATCATGTAATTTTCTAAGTGTGTATGAGTGTAAAATTTACCCACATAAATAAAATAGAGGCAATGTATAAAAGGTGATGTGCAAAGGCAAAATCTGAGCCTTGCTCAACATTTTCATGTACGTGTTCAAGTGCCACTTCATACATTGCCTCCATTTAGGGCAAAACCATGTAAAAATTATGCAACAGTGGAAATCCTCCCTAGTCAGGCCTCTGAACTTACCACATTTCCTCCATAAGCATATCTAACTGAGTTCCTACTGGTTGGATCCATAATTCCCATGGACTAAGCACTTCAGTGACAATAACATTAAGCTGCTGACCATTCTTGAATGGGTATGACGCTAGTTGTACTATGACAAAACGAAACTACAAGTTAGTAATCAGTAGCCTCAAAAACTTAACTACAGTTCTCAAATCATAGAGGATTTATGACTTGCACTTTACACTTACCCTCTGTTGACAGACCACCAGCTGCCACCATAGCTTCTCGTGGAGAAATCTTGATATCCTGAATAATATCAGACAGAGTGCTTGTTGAAGAGCAAGAGCCCCTTCTCTTAGAGTTCTTGCGCGACCTGGAAGCCAAAGCATCCTCACTTAAGGTTTGGGTACTTAGGGTTTTTGCCGACTCAGCATCCACAAGCGAAGATATTAAATTGAGGCCTTCTCCACTCTTTGAAGCTTCACTTGTGATGGACAATGAGGGAGATTGTTGAGATGGTTTGCTGAGATCATTAAGCCCTGTTCCACCCAACTGAGTCTGTTTTGACTGGCTCTTTTGCTGCTTGGAAACCATGCTAGGCTGAGTCGCTTGGGTTGCAATCTCATATTTTTGTTCAGGTTCAGTTGAGTCGGAGGTAAGCAAAGAACTCTGAGAAACTGAAGGCTGCAACTTGTCAGGTACTGTGACACCCTCTTTGGCATTCCTCCTCGCCTCTTCATTACCTAAAAGATCATCATGCAATCATGTGAAAAGTGAATAAGTATAAGTGTATAAGGGATTTTACATTCAAGCATTTCGGTGAAATGCTTATTACCATCTCCATTTAGATAAAAACAGGGAGTCTGATTGCTGTTGGTGCTACAAAGTTGTGATGATACCTGTCTTATGCACATGTAACGTACCACTTCAAGCAGAGCTGTCATTAAGGGTGGGGATCAGGGATTTCCCCTGGCTGCTATGAGCATGATCTCCAGCTACAAAGTCATGTACTTTCATTCATTTGGAAACAAAAGTAAAAAAGACATGTCCTGTAGCTGCACAATTACCCAGCAAATTGATAATAAATACCCAGCAACTTGAAACCTTACTTACTGACAGCCCTGCTTGAAAGGGCTACGTCACGAGGATAATAATTTACTGTTTTAGGTCCATTTTGTATTGAAGTCATAATAATTCTCCCTTTAACCATACACAAAATGCTCCCGTAGAGCTATGAAGAAGATATTAAACAAATTTCATCAAGAAGCACTAACCATAATAATATTTTTGATATTTTTCCCAGGCATACATTGTAGCATTAAGACTTGAAAATGCTGGCTCAAATTTTTTTAAGCTTTAATCCATGTCCATCCCTGCCATCCGTTGCAACAGATGGCAAGAAACAGTTTCAATGACTAAATAGTCGTGAATAACATAATTATCTGGACCATAATTTTTGGAATAATCCAATTGACGCAAAAACAGTTTTAGCTTTTTAGAAAGATAGAAAATAACATGGCATATGCTGAAGCCCCTTTAGAGATAAAGGAAATAAAGTGTAGCCCTGCTGACTTAAAAAGACAGCTGATTTAAATCCATCTCTACTTACACAACTCACCATCTTTATCCTGTTGCTGCTGATACACTCTTTTCAAGATACTCTCTTCTTTTTCCTGCTCACTTTCCTTTAACTTAGCAGTCTGTTTTTCTTTTTCTGTTTTGGGTACACTTCCAGATGCAACTTTACATGTGTTATTGAATGAATTTAGAGAGCTAGTTAGACTACAGGCACTTCTTCAAAATCAAATAATCAAAGTGTACTGGTAGTTAAGAATTAAACATAAAATATAATTATTATGCATAACTTGTACAAAGTAGGCAGCATGCGTGAGTGGTAACCCTTTTAAAAGTTCCAAAAGTGACCAACACCAATCATCTCTCCACAATATCAACACATGCACTAGTTACCCATTTTGCACATCTCCCATAATACAGCTTTTTGAGGCCTTCTCCACTCTTTGAAGCTTCACTTGTGATGGACAATGAGGGAGATTGTTGAGATGGTTTGCTGAGATCATTAAGCCCTGCTCCACCCAATTCTGACTGGCTCTTTTGCTGCTTGGAAACCTGGCTGGGCTGAGTCGCTTGGGTTGCAATCTCATATTTTTGTTCAGGTTCAGTTGAGTCGGAGATCAGCAAAGAACTCTGTGAAACTGAAGGCTGCAACTTGTCAGGTACTGTGACACCCTCTTTGGCATTCCTCCTAGAGTCTTCATGACCTAAAAGATCATCATACAATCATGTGAAAAGTGAGTAAGTTTTAGTGTATAAGGGATTTTCCATTCAAGCATTTCTGTGAAATGCTTATTACCATCTCCATGTAGGTAAAAACAGGGAGTCTGATTGCTGTTGGTGCCTCAAGGTTGTGATGATACCTGTCTTATGTACATGTAACATACTACTTCAAGCAGAGCTGTCATTAAGGGTGGGGATCAGGGATTTCCCCTGGCTACTAGCTATGAGCATGATCTCCAGCTACATGTACTTTCATTCATTTGGAAACAAAAGTAAAAAGGAAATGTCCTAGCTGCATAATTACACACCAAATAATGATAATAAATAAATACCCGGCAACTTGAAACCTTACTGACAGCCCTGCTTGAAAGGGTTATGTCACGAGATAATTCACTGTTTTAGGTCAATTTTGTATTGAAGTCATAATAATTCTCCCTTTAACCATACACAAAATGCTCCCGTAGAGCTATGAAGAAGATATTAAACAAATTTCATCAGGAAGCACTAACCATATTTTTGATAGTTTTTGCAGGCATACATTGTAGCATTAAAATAATAATAATAATAATATTTATTGCTTATAGTGCGCAAATTAACATTCGAATATGATCAAATGCGCGTAAAACTTGAAAACGCTGGCTCAAATTTTTTTAAGCTTTAATCCATGTCCATCCCTGCCATCCGTTGCAACAGATGACAAGAAACAGTTTCAATGACTAAATATAGTCATGAATAACATAACTATCTGGACCACAATTTTTGGAATAATCCAATTGATGCAAAAACAGTTTTAGCTTTTTTAGAAAGATAGAAAATAACATGACATAATTTATACTGTAGCCCCTTTAGAGATAAAGGACATAAAGTGTAGCCCTGCTGACTTAAAAGACGGCTGATTTCAATCCATCTCTACCCACACAACTCACCATCTTTATCCAGTTGCTGCTGATGCACTCTTTTCAAGATACTCTCTTCTTTTTCATGCTCACTTTCCTTTAACTTAGCAGTCTGTTTTTCCTTTTCTGTTTTGGGTGCACTTCCAGATGCAACTTTACATGTATTATTGAATGAATTTACAGAGCCAGTTAGACTACAGGCACTTCTTCAAAATCAAATAATCAAAGTGTACTGGTATTTAAGAATTAAACATAAAATATGCATAACTTGTACAAAGTAGGCAGCATGCATGAGTGGTAACCCTTTTAAAAGTTCCAAAAGTGACCAACACCAATCATCTCTCCACAATATCAACACATGCACTAGTTACCCATTTTGCACATCTCCCATAATACAGCTTTATTAACCCCTCTGCATCCCCCCCACCACCAAAATTGTATAACCATTGTTTTTAGTTAAGCAAAATTTGGGAGGGGCAAACAAGGAATTATCACAAGAAATGACTGTGGGAATTAATAAAATGATCACCAAATAGTTCTCTCAACTAGTTCTTTAAGGAAATGCAAGGAGCTCAGTCTAGAAAATTTGTGTGACTGTAGAACTGGGGCTTAACAGGTTGAGCATTCGCATGTTGGGCTGGAGTTCATATGTGTAAGTATTGACTTTCAAGCTCCACTCTGCCCATGAATTGGACTGTTTCTTGATTAAGTCCCAAGCTTAATCTTTCAATCATGTCTTTAAATGGCAATTTTAAATGTAATGATGTTTTCTTTGATGACTACACATTTACACATGCAAGGCCAAGAATACAGTACACAAACACATATATAGACTGATTAAGAAATTATTTTTGCTTACCTGGCACAGTTTGTTTGTCTTTGCTTGTATCATCAGCTATCTGAACTGATTTTGCTTCAAGGCTGCTGTCCTTTGATGCAGCGGGCTCATGATCAGGATGATCACTTGATTCAGATGCAGAACTACCAATGTCCTCACCAGTACCTTCTATAACAAATTAAGTACGCTTTACTTTTTTTCCTTTCATTTAACGATTTTAAAAAATTACCTGGTCATCATGTCTGGCTGCTGGTATGATTTCAGCCCACATTCGGCAAAGTTTAGTTGCATATTGTCATTGCAAGCTCTCCCTTTCTTTGCCCACCACTTGCTTTTGCATCTGTGTTCACATGCTACTTCCGTGTGACTTTTCATATATTCCTAAATGGACAGCTTACTTGCAGGCTATCTGGTCCTTCATGCCCTCCCTTAGTCCAATGGCATGCCTACCCTCTGGTCCCTCATGACCTATCCCAACCCAGCATCCCTCCCCTCCAGTCTCACATGCTATCCTTCAGCCAAGCATCTCTACCCTCCAGCCCCTCATGCCCTCCACAACCCCAGCATCCCTAACCTCCAGTCCTTCATGCCCTTCTTCAGCCACACATCCCTGCTGTCTGGTCACTCATGCCCTCCCTCAGCCCAGCATTCAACCCTGCAGTCCCTGAGCTCTGCTTCCCTACCCTCCGGTCCCTATTGCCCTCCCTCAGCCCTGTATCTACAGTTTAAAACTCCTATAAACAAAAAATAAATATATAATAATTATCCATTACCCAAGATGTCTTCCTCTTCAAAAGCTGTGACAGAATCACTGATCAATAACAGACAATCCAGACACTTTTCCAATTCCTGACTGACTGAAGAATACTTCTGGAAAAACCTCTTGCGGTCTTTCTCCTTGAGAAGTTCCTTGGCTGGACTAGATGCCTTTGGTTGAAAGGAAAACAAGACAACTTAACAAAAAAATGAACAATAACAATAAAGTCAAACCCTGCTTAATACAGACACCTCAATACTCAAACAGTTTTCTTTGTCCCTAGGGGAAAAAGCCCTTGCATTTTCTCTAAATTCAACCCACTTAACCCTTTAAACACCAAGATCAAAATTTGAATTCTCATTTGTTGCTCCTATTCATTTCCTACAGAAGTAGTGGGGAGAAGTTCATATAATATCAAGCAAAATCATCTTCCATGACCATGTCCGTAATTCTCATGACCACTCTATTTTACAAAGCAATGATATTACCAGGAGAAATTTGATGCTGATCACTCTTAGGGCTTAAAGGGTTAATATGAACACCCCACATATATGGACACTTTCTATATGGCCCCTTTACTGTCCATATTAATAGGGTTTGACTGTAACAATAACAATGATGACGGTAAACTGTTGAAATACAAACACGCCCTGTAAGCCTGTAAGCCCTGTAAGCCCTGTAAGCCTGTAACCCCTCTAAGCCATGTTCATGTAAGTGTTTCTACCTTCTGAGGCGGTATAGTTCGTACGCTGGTGGGCTAATGGATGAGGGTAATAAAAAAATTGAGTGGGTGGAGGGTCATGGTGAGGTGAGTTTGAACACGTATAAGTGAGGTTACCATGCCAACCACGTTAAGTTGAAGAAATCTAGCTAAATTGAAATAACAGTGAACCTTATTTTCAAAGAAAATTTCAGTCCCTTATTTTTTTAAATTTATAACCTAAAAGGTTGTAAGCCCTGTAAGCCGCTTACACGAAAGCTTACGCTGAAAACCTATCCGTAAATCGTGCCTGGTATAAACATGTACAGGTAAGATTTAATAGTTCTCTTTTTAATTTAGAATACATTTTGAATTTTTTCTGTGTACCTTGTTGGCCAGATCATTGATAAACTGACAAATGAAGTCAGACTGCTCCTGAACATTACTTAGCTTCTCCTGAAGTCGTTTCCTCGCATCTTCCAGTGGTTTCTTCTTTGGTGGCATTTTCACTAAAACACCATCAGTTTGCAAAATGCCTCCCCCTACATCTTTCTATAAAAAACAAGGCAGAATTTTTCTCATAGTACTCACTAGTAGTCGGAATTAATTTTTATACCTGGATCTGAATCAGGCACTCACGACCTGTATATGTTGTCCTTCAAAATGAGTAGTGTAATGCTGAAGTTGTCGATCAACTTATCCCTGGTTTATATCTAGTTCCCCTTGTTCCAAATTATTATCATACATTACACAGCCAAAACTAAAGGAAAATAAAATTCATACCAACGATAAATTGAGCCTTAATAATTACATCTAAACAGACTTCTTGTCGTCATTTTCTGTTCTATTGGAAATCATCGCTGGAATCTGTTTTGCAGTGATTCGATTGATAACATCGCTCTGTCACGGGCCTCGTGCTCATGAATTCTTATTTTCAATTATGCGCGCGAGAACTTTTTCATTTAAAGTCAACTGTTAGGGAAAACAAAGAGCACACTCATGAATCACTAAATTTACCTGTTAATAGAACCCCTCGCCCTTCAAACAACAAAAAAATACGTGTATTAAAAGCCCATTTTCCGCGCGATAAATTTGATCCTCAATCACATGTTCCATACTATGTAGCCTGGCCTTATTTTGAAGGGGTCACTAGGACAGCTGGGAAGGGGTGGTAGCTAGTGTGAAACATATCTTTCCTTCGCCACCCCGGGCGAAAGATTTCTCTTCACTCTGTCGCTTTATTTTGCCTAAAATCGTCACGAATTGGCAATATTATGTGTGAACCATTGTATATTGCTAACATCGCTTAGAATTCTGCCCTGACTACGGTGTATTTAGCGACAAATTTGCTTAAATTTGCTCTGTTCAGGAGGGAACGCTATCAAACAACATGGCTGACAACCAAGAAACCACCGAGGTATTGTACGGCAAATTGATGCATTAATTACTAATACTTGTTTTCTTTGGTCAGGTATCCGGCAGTACTTAGTTGTATATCTTTATATATTGATCACGACATAGTGTGTTTCCAAGATTGAACGTGGATTTTCGATTTTCGAATCGTGTTCTCGGCTACAAAGTGAAACAACGGTGTCGGATGTCGACTGTCTCCTTATTAATATAATGGCGCGATCATGAAGCTTCCGGTTGATAAAAATTCTGGGCCCTATTTCCTACAAAATTAAACAGCTGTGTCCTTTAAAATTAGACGCACAGTTGTTCCTTGTACAGAGTTTTCTTCCGAGCAAGTAATTCAAATTCATGTACTCGGTGCGCTTAAGTTGTGTTCCATATGTTTCAGCTGTTTTTAATATTATCGCCCGAGGGGAGTTGTGAAGGGTGTTTTACCTTTTCAGAGATGAGGTTGAACTTAAACATTGATGCCTTTAAAAGAATAACGTCTTTAATTTCTCACAGTAATGTTTTTTTTTTTTTAAATAACAAGCGAGAAGACAGTTATAATCTTCAATGCTGAAGAGATTTATTGTTTTTGTTGAAGCTATAAAAACATAGAAATTATGATGATCATGAGACCGGGATGGAAGGGTTCAAGGATGTGGATTAAAAGGCAAGCTTTTTTTTCCACACAAGGGAAATTCTTTAAATCAACCAGGGTAACATGAGAATTGTCACAGTCGGCACTGAATTCTGATCTGTGGAATTTTTCGAAAGAATTTGTCAAAACAAGGTAATGTGGTCTGTTTCCCTGATACGTATCTGTCATCAGCTCTTCCAATAGCATCTCTCTGATAGAGTATCATTTGTCATCAATCTTAAAGAAGTGGGCTATTGTTTTGACCTATTTTGAACTTAGTTTTACTCTGCAATATGTAAAAATAGTTTTTTTTTTATAACTGTTGTAAATATTTCTTCCCAGGCTAATCAGACAAACATATCTCCTAGTGAGGACAAATCAGCATCTCAAAATACTCCTACATCTGGTAATTTTATTATTTATTTTTTTCAGAGTTAATATTTCATTTTCGAGACATTTAATTGCTACAGAGAATTAGTTCATTTTATGTACTTTTGATCATATTTACATGGAAAATATGCATTATAATCATAATAATAATTGTTGTTATTATTATTATTTTCCTTTTAGAAAATTGATTTTGTGCTCAAAATTCAAAGTTTTTATGCATGGTATTTAATAGTATCATGTTCACTTGTTCAGGTTTTTCATGAAGCTAAAATCTGATCACCAGTTTTATAGTTTAGCAGGCCTAAAGGTCTATAACTTTTAGGATGCGAACAGTGTGCACAAAATGTTTGAAAATCTCGAACTCCAGGTGTCTTTAGGAGAAACAGCTCTCAAATTATGCTTCCTAGAGCAATTGCCTGTTGCAAATTTCCCCCTACTTCTCCCACTTCCCACCCTTTCCTATCACACCTGCTGTACCCCTCTTGCCCCCTAATATCACAGGCTCCCATCCCCCCCCCCTCCCCAATCCCTTCCCACTAGTTACATGTAGAAGATAACTGGCGTGAGCTCTTGCGTATGGTGCTGTGTCAGTAGGGGAGTGAAAAATACACCCTTTATGTGGGCAATTTGCTCTTTCCAGTGTGCAAAGAAAGTCATGCCTGATAGCCCAGAGCTAGTGGATTTCTCGATCCGGCTTGTACATGTAAAATTATGGGGGGAATTCAAATATTGCATAAGTACTGTAAAGGCCAATTTAGACAGTAGGATTTGTACTTACGACTATCGTGCACGACTCGACTAGCATATGTCATGACTTTTGACCATCCACGCACACACAGTTTTCACTTACGACATCCAAACGTGTCGTAGGGATGTCATGGGTCTAATTTACACGACACAATCTGATGTGAAGTCATGACATATGCTAGTCGCACACGATACTTCTAAGTAAATATCGTACCATCTAAATCAGTGTTAAGAAAATACAAAATTCCTAATAAATTTACGTGAACTGAAAGTCATTTTTAAAGCTGTTTTTTTGACAAAGTAAAAACTGCAATAAAAAGACCGTGTTGGGCTAGACGTGGTGTGATTTGCACAATCTTCACAGCAGTTAAAAATTAATACCTTAGTAGTGAGTCTCCTGAGACTCCTAAAGCTTTGTTTAAATTATACTCAAATGTAGCTTTCTGCAATGAATTAATAGAGCAAGTTATTAATTAGCTAATGGTGTATTTAATTGATAACTATTTGATAACTATTACATTAACTATCAATCCTGCTGGTCAAAATGACTTTTAGGCTTCTACTAGACTGTTCACAGTCCCCTATTTTTTGTGAGATCGTCAAGATATCGGCACATCTTACCATTAATAAATGTTCAGATCACCATTGATAAATGTTCAGATCAGTCAATCGATCTTTGCGTGCTACGGGCCGCATTCCTTGAATTATTTTGCGTCTTTGGGGATTTTTATGTGTCATGGACGCAGGACGCAGAGGTAACAGAATCACTGCGTGCTAGCTACAGCTTAAAGGGCAAGTTGTAAAATTGACTTTTTTGGCACCTGTCTGTTTTAAGGTTACTGCTTGAAACAGCAGCTTGTGGATTCAGGACTCAAAATAACAGCCAGTCAACAGACCATGTCCTGCCAAAATGTCCATTTTCCGGACAAATTTTCAGTTTTGCAGTCATTTTGACTGGTCAAGTACATGGCTTTCAAATAAATAACTAGATTTATTAGTTGAGCTTGCTTTACATGTATCAAGGAGACTCTAAAAATCCATGCGTTTCTTTCCTTCCTTTTCTCAGGGTTTTCAACAGTTTTTGAAATAGGAGTTGCGTTTATTTGAGTAGGAGTTGCAAGGCCCGGAGGGCCTTGCTCTCTAGGGGGGTCTGGGGGCATGCCCCCCCCAGGAAATTTTGAATTTCTAGACTCTTGGAGGCGCATTTTCCCGCATTTTGAGACGCAGAACTAGCAAATTTTAGATATCGAAAATACTGATAAATTTTGATGAATATTAGGGTACGCTTTAACCACATTATTACCTGCAGCATCCTTTTTCTTTTTCTTGTTTGTCACTGTCAGCGACCACATCTCCCGTAAACCACGCTGTCGCTTTTTGGCCATTTTGCCGTGTTCTTGGAGACGAAATGTGGCGTTTTATATAGACTCGCTTCAGAAACCGCTAACTACAATGTTCCCTGTAACTGAGACCCAGTCTTCGACTCGTCCTCAACGTTTACTCAACGTATTACGCAGAGAACGTATTTTAAAAGCAGACTCAAGATGTTTTGTCGAAATTCTCCAGAAAAATTTCAAGTTTGCTTGCTCGCAACAGCTTTGTGAACACTTACCACTTTTTATCAAAAGTTTTATTTGTCATATAATTTACCTAAGGGAAAGTAGGCGTCGCAAATCAAAAAGTTGCCGTCGGATGCGACGGCCGACGGCTGATTTTGAAAACACTGTTTCTATTTTTTTCATGTGTGTACACTAAAATGGGTCATGGTCCCAGGTGTCCCTAGCGGAAACTGTGGAAACTGGGGATAGATATCATGACATGACATACAAAATTATATTCAAGAGATGTCAAGCTTTTCCAGAACTGGTTGGTCTATGAATTCTATCGCTTGAAAGCAGGGCTGTGCTCTAGCAGAGCCCTGTGGCCCCTGGCGCCTACTTTCTAATATTTTTCTCTTGGGCGACTAGAAAATCTTACTTTCTTCATACAGATCTTATGCTGGACACCCTTGATTTTACAGGTTCAGAGCTCTAGGCTGCCTTCAATTTTCCTTAGAGCCCAGCCCTGGACAGTGTTGTTTACTTTGGAACAAGTGAATACTTAAGTGGTGAACCTTTATGAGCAAAACTTCAACAAAACTTCGATGGTGATGCTAACTTGTCGAGTGTTGTAACCTTTCATTGTATGCAAATGAGTCTTGTGATGAGCATGTGTTTTTTTTTCGACAATGATTGAATTAAGGACTCGCCATATTCATCACGTTTTTGCTCTTTGGCAATGATGTAATTTCTTTGTAATCAAGGCCCTTTATTCTTGTGTATTTGTACATGCGTACTCCAAGAAAAAAGAAAGAAAAATGTGTGAAGAATACTTGACTGTTGATAAAGTAGGGTCTGAAAAACTTTTGGCAAGGAAATCCTGTTTCGTGTACAATGTTTTTGTAGTCTGAATTTATCGCCCTCTAATTTCTTATCTAATCTCCATGCAACATGCTCAACTTAACACTTTTTTAAGAGTCTTCTTGTTCGCATTAATACTGGAAATTACAAAAACAGTTAAATCATAAAAATATTTCAACTGCTTGCAGTCACAAATTCGGAGAATGCATGTACACAGTGAAAATGGTAGAGGTGCATGTAGCCTTATCTCAACGTCTTCCGCCCCTGGCAAAATAGGTCTCCCAAGACCTAAACAGGAAACGTATTCGCAAAAAATTGCGTTACTTCCGATTGCTCCCAAATTTGGCACAAAGGAAGTTAATAGATTTAGCCAATCACCTGCCTAGTTCCAGCCCCTGTGGACTTTTGACCGTGACACACTGAGCTTTCGAAAATTTTGAATTTTATGGCGAGTCGCGAGGAATTTTTGTCAGCCGGTTTTGCGAAGAATGCAAGCTTGTATCGAGGATTGTCAACCAAATACAAGTCAAGCAAACTATTCTGAAAGATTTTGGAGGATAACAAGCAAAATAAACGCGAAAATTGAAGTAAGGAAACACTTAGAATCTGTGCATGCAAATCGCCGATCGCCAAACTCTGTGCCACATGTTCTTGAAACGGCGACGATTTCCTTCCCGTTTTGCCTTCGCTTCGCTTTTCGCCGTCAAATTCTTGCTTGTTTTGATGAATTCTATCAGCAAATTCATGTCTGCTTGTCTCCAACTCGATATTTCTTTGGGAATCGAGGAAACAAAGCGTCTAAGTGAAGTAAACATGTGGTCACGAGGTGACGCCAAAGGATTATGCTAATTATGATAATCTAATTAGCATAATCATGAGAGAGCGCAGAAAAATATTTGTAGAAAATTTCTAGTCGCTCCATGTTTTAGAACGATTTTAGTTTTTTTTTGCTTAGATATTGATGAAAAAAATTTCTTACTACCATATCACCCAAAATAAAGAAGTTTCCTAGCTGAATGACATTCTTTAAAATTTTTAAAAATTTTTATGCAAAATATGCTTTTTAAATTTTATGGTGGCGGAATATTATGGGTTTCCTACGACCAAAATATTTTTTTTTCGAAAGGGTATTCTTTTCCCTTTCCAATGAGGTATAGCTTGATATTGAACTGTAAATAACACCGGAGATATGATTTTTTTAAAGTTACATGGCAAAATACATTAAAATAATATAGGGAAGACGTAGAGATAATTATTCTGCAGCTCTGTGTATGTCACCTAGTAACATTGTCATTACGGTTTAATGTACACTGTAGACTGGGAGCAGTCTCTTATTTTCTTTTGCAAAGTTAACGCACGAGAAGTCCAAGCACGCAAGCGGCAAAGGCAAGAGCCTCGATAAACGAGTGCGTAAGCCTGAGAAGAAAAAATAAGACAGAGGGTACTCTGTCCTCTGTCTTTTCTCATCTGGTCCTTATCCCTTATTGTAACATAACCTCGTGGTTTGCAATCGCACTGGCTGTGATAAGAACAAGACAAGAGAAAAGGCAGACTGCAAGCAGTCTAGGTTTGATGAGCAATTTTTTTTCAACAATAATGTATCAAGTTTTTAATGTTGTTACATTGCGAACCCTGAGTTGTTGAGGCATACTTGTACGAGGTGATATTTTTGTCTTGCTATTACTTTGAAACATGAGCCATAATTTCAACATTTTTTGACAGGTCATAAACAAGCCATGAGCATGCTTACTTTAGTGGGCTAAGATGACCTGCCACTGTACAAAAATTATTTGAGCCCTGGGATTAGTGGCCAATATACTTAATTGTTAAGTCAGTTGATAAAACTGAATATTTCTTTCCCTTTTAGATGATGAGGAGGATGTTCACTACTGTGGTAGATGCAAGTTGTCATTCACAGATCTCTCTGAATACATCAAACATAAAGCAAACAAAGTTTGCCGAGATGCCAACAAGAGTACTCTTACAGAAGTTGTAAACAAGCTACCTATCAGTCCTAACCCATCCCCTGAGAAATCCAAGCAAAAGAGCAGTAATGCCACAGCAAGTCCAACCACTAATGCTGGTGAAAAGTCACAGGAAAATGAGGAAAAAAGTGACTCATCATCAGAGAAAAGAGTTGAAGTCCAGTTTCTTGAGCCACTTGTGGCTGGGGGAAGTGATAGTGGACGATCAGCCGGTGATGAAGATGATAGCAAGCCCAGTAAGTGTTATTTTACTAAACAATGTGTACATGTAACTCCAAAATATTATTGTAATACTGCATTTCCTTAAAATAAATGCCTGGTTGCGTATTTCAAATAGGCTCTTTGCATGACTTGATCAAGTGACCAACTTTCCGTAAACACAAAAACATTTCACTTTTTAAAAATTTTGTTAGGACAAGCTGAAAGAGCATGTTAAAATTAGGTAACCTGAGAATTTTCAGCCGTATGCCTCAAAAGTAGCGATTGCAACGGCCGCCAAAAATTAGAGGCATTTGTATGAGAAACCAAGAGCACATCAATAGAACAAAAATTAAAAGAGAAGAGATGATGCACATAAAAGAACTCTGCAAGCACATAAATAATTATGAAGTGAAGAAACTACACAACAAAAGTAGAACCCCGGTAACTCGAACTCTAAAGGGAAACGGAAAACAGTTTGAGTTAGCTGGGAATTCAAGTTATCGGAAGGAAATTTAGTTTGAGTTAGCGGTGAATTTAAGTTATCCGTATTCGAGTTATCAAGGTTCTACTGTATTCTCCCTTACTCATTCCACTGTAGTTGAAGCCTGACAAGTTAAATTAAAGTGGCAATAGAAGCTGGTTGTCCTTGCATCCCTTCTATTTAAGAAGGTGGTGGGAAGGGGAGCAGTTATTGTTTCACCTCTGCATCCTACGTTCCTGATGCATAAAATTTCCCAAAAATGCAAATAATTCATGGCATGCGTCTCGTAGGACAAAGATTTATTGATCTATCTGAACGTGAGTTTTTGTCGAGTATCATGTTTGTGTAATTTCTGTGGCAGTTATTATGGCTGTTGTTTAAGGATGCATATTTCTTTTAGCCTTTGTTGTGCTTTAAAATACGTGTAGATTGACTATATTTTAGTTTCAGTATATTGTGATACAGCATTTTGGAGTAACTGTCTGATTACATAAAGGTCCAGGCATTTTCAATTTAGCACTCGTTTTTTGAACCGGGACTCATTGGTTCTGAACAGGGACTCATGATNATTGACTATATTTTAGTTTCAGTATATTGTGATACAGCATTTTGGAGTAACTGTCTGATTACATAAAGGTCCAGGCATTTTCAATTTAGCACTCGTTTTTTGAACCGGGACTCATTGGTTCTGAACAGGGACTCATGATGTTTGACTTACTTGATATTATGGCCTTGCAATTGGGGATGGGTGCTTTTTTGGGAGAGTGTGGGCGCTTATTCGAGGAAATACGGTATCCTTTGTGTCCGCACCTTGATAAGTGACGTGCAAGAACTACCAAAGAAGTTTCATTTGAATGGTCACACCGTAGGATTTTTTTGCCCACAGACTGAAAAGTTAGAGCCGCCTAACAAGACTTCATCTTTCCATCTGGGAGTAAAGGGTGAAAGTGCTGAGATCATGAGGAAGAGTAGCGGGTATTTTTTGGATAAGTCCAGTTTATCCTTGTTTTTAAAAAGCACCTTTACTCTCACAGGTAAACCAACCAAACGGCACAAGAGGAAAAATTCGCATCCTAAAACGACAAGAAAACGCAAATCTTCTTCATCTACACCAGGATCCAGCCACGAAAAAACAAAAGAACCACGGAACAAGAAATCTTCCAAACCAAAGGATGATACCATCACTGTACACATTCCAGAATCCCAGCTTGTCCATCTTAATTCAGGCTCAACTTCTTCTCCTTCTTCCTCTCCACCTGGGGTTGTTGTTCGCAAACAAGGTGCGACTAGTGTCTTTGTGCCAATTTACCTCAATTCTCCTTCCAAAGTGTACAAATGTCAGCGCTGTCCCGCCGTATTCAAGACTCTGGATGAGAAAGAAGAACACAATAAGATGCACAAGAAGGAGTTTAAATGCAATTTGTGCTCCAAGAGTTTCTTCACTGCGGGTGGATTTGAGCAGCATCGGTTGAACGAATCACACTCCCATCCGTGTGATCATTGTGGAAAGGTTTTTACCAGCGTAGTTCAGTTAAAGAAGCACAAGACGTCGCACTCAACAAACAGGCCATATGGTTGTGACCAATGTGAAAAAGCTTTCTGCTCCCCGGCAAATCTTAGGTCTCACAAGAGAACAGTACATGCTACAGAAAAGAATCACAAGTGTCCTGAGTGTGGCAAAGCATTTGCGCGCAAAGATAAAATGAAAAGGCATTCGTTGATTCACTATCCTGATACAAGACCCACTTTCACCTGTCCGTTTCGTAGCCACACGGGCTGCATGAAGACATTCTACCGTGAAGACAAGCTTAAGCGTCACCTGTTCACACACTCAAAGGACAAGCCTTTTAAGTGCGAACAGTGCAACAAGGGGTATGCACGCCGGGATAACTTAAACGATCACATGCGCATCCACACTGGAATCTACAGTCACGTTTGCCGGATGTGCGAGAAGGGTTTCCTTGGTCCCCATAAGCTGAAAAAACACATGAGGTCTGCCCATAAGCATGTTGATCCTGATCAAGTGCAGACACGCCCGCCCCCTCCAACCATGGTTCCTTTGGATGAGAGCAGCCCAGCTCTCACTGCCGCTCGCAGAGAGAGGCCAGCACCCGCACAAGCCAATGCCCCAGCTAAAGCCGGGCAAGCAGGATCTTCGACCGACGAGGAAGCTGAAAGTGAGCTGTCATCGCCGGAGCTGCCATCAGAAGATGAAAATGATGAAAGTTTTGATGTTTCAGCGTCCGATTCTGGAGATGAGGGAACTTCTGAAGAAGTTAAAACAGGCACTTCAGTGTCCACCACTCCACACCCGGTCCCTCCCCAGGCCACTGCAACGCTTACTCACGCCCCAACCCCTACTCATCATGGCCCAATGCCGCGTGTGCGCCCCGTCCCGAGAGTCAGTGCAGCCCCTCAGCCATTCATTCCTCCGCCTTTGCCACCAGGTCTGCATGCCACTGCAGAACTGTTGGCATTTTCTCAGGAGCTGTTTAACGTGGTTGGGAGATTTCAATCGTGACTTTTCGTGACTTTTAAAAGTGAAAACGTGGAAGATTGTGCGCGGGTGAGACTGTTATCAAGCAAAATACAGCTTTGTAACATTACTGTTCTATTAAAAGTTGGAAGTGTTCTCTTTGAAAGTCAAAAATAAAAAGCGGCTCCTTCGCGTGGCGCTTTTTATGAGAGAGATGTGCATCACGCGGCGGTGAGTTGTGAGAGTAACCGTATTCTCCGTCAGGGTTCGTACAGATCATGAAATACCCGGAGAATCATGAATATTTAATAATTTCATTTTGCAGGCAGTCATGAAAACTAAAGTTTCGTTTGTTAGAATAACTACTGCTGGTGCTAAAGCAAGGATAACGGCACGATTTTTGGTGGAAGCCAGCGTTTGTGTCTATTAAACGGAGTAAGTTAAAAAAAATAACCTAAAGAAAGGAAAGTCAGTTTCAAATTTTTCGAAAGTGACAGCCTGGAACTTGAAAAGGTCGTGGAAAAAATCATGGAAAGTCATGGAATTTAAAGAGCTGAAAAGAGTACGAACCCTGGCGGTTGATTACAGCATTTACTAACAGAACATTTTTCATAATGATTAGAATTGTAAAAATGTAGCGGTGAATCAGTACATTCTGTGTTGATGGGTATAGTTTATTCTGATGTTGTACTTTGTTATTCTGTGGTTTTTATAAAGGGGTATTAGACTTTGATTGGTACAAACTGGTGGTAGACAAAGATAGTGCAGTAGTCATTGTATTAATCTCAAAGTAATTTTTAATAGAGAGTCTTATATAACTAGGCCGATTGTTTATGGACCATCCTTATTTTAAGTTCTCAAAAATAATTTGATGAGAAATCCGGAAATAAAATACAGTAGAAGTTTGAAGGAAAGATTATTGCTAGAATCGTTCTCGTTTGTCTTGACTGCGACTAAAATTTAAACCTCCCAGGAGCTCTCATTCCCAATTAGGTAAAATAAATGATGAATATAGAGAGATTACTTCCCTGTTTCTTTTTGGTGGCCATTTTGAATTTTGCGCTCAACCGGTTGGAGGTATGGAACCGAGAAATCTTCTCGCTTCCAGGCCTCATCCCAGCAGCTGAACTCAAAATTCAATATGGCCAAAACATCACACGCATCGATAAAGTGAGTAATCTTTATTTATTTTTTATGACGTAATGGGATGTGAGAGCCGCCTGTGACCTAGCTAAACGTTTTAGCGAACCCGTGTGAGGCGGTCAACCTCAATTTTCTAACCGAAATCCTAAAAGTAGAGGTCTTAAATTTATAATGGTTATGCATTCATTACTTTCTGACACAAGCTGACCTTTCAGCTGACCCGTGTGTAAAACACTCACTAAATTTTGTGCCGTAATGTATTCATATTACAGCTAAAAAGTACGGTTCAGCATATACCAAGTAGCTTAAGCAACGACGACAGTGTCGGTGGCAGTGAGAACATCGCTGAAAAAATGCATTTGGGTTCTTTCAAACTTTATCNAACGTTTTAGCGAACCCGTGTGAGGCGGTCAACCTCAATTTTCTAACCGAAATCCTAAAAGTAGAGGTCTTAAATTTATAATGGTTATGCATTCATTACTTTCTGACACAAGCTGACCTTTCAGCTGACCCGTGTGTAAAACACTCACTAAATTTTGTGCCGTAATGTATTCATATTACAGCTAAAAAGTACGGTTCAGCATATACCAAGTAGCTTAAGCAACGACGACAGTGTCGGTGGCAGTGAGAACATCGCTGAAAAAATGCATTTGGGTTCTTTCAAACTTTATCATGTATTTGAGCTTCGCTTATTTTCTGAAACGTAGAAGAATTTTCTTGGAGTTAAATTCCAAAGGACTGCATCCAGTTTCTAAAAGGGAAGAGAAAATCAGTCTTGATGTTACTGAAAGAGGGGGATATGAGGGGTTACGGTCCCAGGGGCCCCACTCACATATTTTAATGACAGGGGGGTCCGAAGGATTTTTTTGGGTCTGACATTTTGGCCAAAAGGGATTTTTTTGGGTCTATGAAAGACGCCGGGATTTTTTGGGGTCGCGAAAACAACAGAGGGATTTTTTTGGGTATTATATTTTTCATCAGCTCAAATTAAAAATAACATAAGCGCAATTTATAGTTTTGTTTTTGACCAAAACCAAGTTGAACTTGGCATGTTTTAGCTTTCCAGAAGATATATAATAAAATTTGCTGATGCAAAAACACTGAGGGATTTTTTTGGGTAGACAAATTCTGAAGTTGGGATTTTTTTTGGGTATAAAATATGAACCTCTGTCGGACCCCCCCGTCATTAAAATATGTGAGTGGGGCCCCTGGGGTTACGGTATTGCGGTATTGAGCTTGTTTTCAAGCGGTATTTCGATAATTTTGATTTAAGCGGTATTGCGGTGTCATCTAGCCCTGCGGTATCCTTTTGGTTAACGGTATTCGGTGAAAGAAGATCCCTCACGGTATTGCAGTACCACTAATTTGCGCTCTCCTGTCTAATACGGGTCAGTACAATGTACAACACGAACAACAGTAGATAAACAGGTTAATAAAAGTTGACTTAATGGTAAATGATTACACAATCTATGACAAAATTGGAAGAGCATCCAATGACCGGGCTTTTCGATCGTCTAACGATCAAGGTCTTCTTACGTTTTCTCGCAATGTCTAAGGTTGATTTCTGGTGCATACATGCTAAAGGTAAACAAACACGCGAAATGGATACAGCTTTAAGTAAACGTGACCGATCATAAATGCACTCTCGGTATTTCGTCGATTTTTAACACGATTTTTCGGTATTTGCCAATTTTTCTTACAGTATTGCGGTATTGGGTACCTCCCAATGTCCCCCTCCTTAAACGGGGAATAAGTCACGGGGAACGGAAAAGTTAAAAATGCAGCGTGCAAAGGAAGTCGTGTCCGATAGCCCGGGGCTAGTGCATTTTGCGATCGGGCTAGTTTTTTTTTGTTCTTAACTTGCCCGACGGGCAAGTGCTGTTTTTGGGGGAAATTCAAATTACAGAAGGATTGTTATCAATCCTGCCAATCAAAAAGGGTTTTGGAGCTAGTTGAAATGACTTGTTGGCTAGTACATACTATCTACATCTTGCCCGAATGGCAGGCTGTAAAACTGACTTTCCTTGAAAATGAGAACAAAACACAGAATTCAAAATGAAGTTACTGATGGGGCTAGGGTTCAAGTTTCGTTTTGCTCCCATTTTTCATTTTCCCGTTTCCCGTGCTCGTTTCCCGTTTCCCGTTCCCCGCTCCCTGCTTCCTGTTCCTCGTTTAGTAATATCCCTTTACGTCCTCTATAGAACGTCACACTTTGCAATCTCACGTCGTAATCTTGCAATGACGTCAAAGTAATGAGCCAAAATGCAGAGTTGTATTATTTGTCACAGACTTTACATAGCCCTTGACCGAATTATTTAATGAGCATGGTTTAACATCATTTATATTTGTCTAGCCTGAGAAAACAACCAGAAACAACCGACATTTCGCGACGCCAGCACTGGTTTCCCCGCGAAATGACGTCTGACAAAACGAGTGCACAAAATTCCATACTAATGACGGGTCACTTTACCCAGATCTGGGTTGTGACCCCTTATCAGTATGGAATTTCTACACTCGTTTCTCAGACGCCATTTCGCGGGGAAACCAGTGCTGGCGTCGCGAAATGTCGGTTTTTTTCTCAGGCAAATTGCCATAAGACAAATATTTATCCGTATCGAGTTTGGGTAAATATTTTTCGTTTTTAAAACTTTTTGTTAAAATAAAGGATAAGGCCAAACGTTACAAAAGTGAGGTATGTAAAAAATTCAAACGTCGTTCACAGCCTTTTGATTTTCTGTGTTTTCACGCTCAGTCATGCCGCACGTGCCTGTGGGTTTGTGACGAGATAGACGCACTTAAAAAAGCGGAAAATCCAAGACGTGGATATTGGTTCTGTGGTTATTTTTTTATACAACGTTAAAGAGATTTAAAAACTAAGAATGAATTTGCAGGAATATCAAAATTTTGCTTATAAGGCAAGTTAAAGCCTAAATGTACTGTTAAGTATGGGCGCCAAAATTTCTCGAGGAAGACAAGACAAACATGGTACAATTCTCATGGTGGGTTTAGATGGCGCTGGGAAGACAACTATAGCAAACATGCTTAAACGCGAAATGATATTTCGAACGGAGCCGACTAGAGGGTGCACCTTCAGCTTGAACGCGTTCGGATTCAAGGAATATACCTTTTCAATATGTGATGTTGGAGGCAGTAAACACTCTCGGTATATGTGGCGCAATTTTAAACAAAACGACGCGTTCCTCAATTGGGCGACCATATGTGGTGTTATTTTCGTCGTAGACAGCTCTGATTGGGAAAGAATGACAGAAGCAAAAAAACTTTATTCCGAGCTTCATCAACAGCTTGCTAAAGATCATCGCCGACCCGTTCTTCCTGTGTTAGTTATTGCAAACAAACAGGACCTTGCTGGAGCTCTCACAGCTCATGAGGTTAGCGATGGGCTATCACTCGAACAGTACAAACTTTACGGCTGGCAAGTAACGTTTCATTTTACCGCCGTTGACGGAGTGGGTTTAGATGATGCTGTGTGGATTTTGTACAAAATGATCAAGAAACGTGAAAAGCTCTTGAAAAAAAATTGATCACCATGAATGATTGGCAACTGTTTTTGTATACTAATGTTTGTATTTAAATGAATGTACTAATCGCGAAAGTGGTCTGAAAGGGGTGTGTGGACTTCGTTCAAAACTTCTGGGAAATGCCAAACACAGTTGCGAGTAACTTTCCGCAACAAATGTTTTCAGCAATTGTTAGTGTAACGTGGTGAGTAAAATTTACATAACAAGTTGCCTTGGTGACGGATGTGTTCTTTGTTCTTGCTTCTTCTAGCCTACCACGCAGACGTTCTTAGGGGTTCGTCACACGTTCTTGCCCCACGTCAGGAAGACAAATATTATTCCGATTGCGTCACTTACTTCTGACGTCAGTTGCATGAATAAAATTCGGATAAAATAGTGTCATCATATTGAGCGTATTATTTACAATCTAGTCGTCGAACAACTGATCTTGTTAAGCTACGGTAACTGAACGGGTATCAAAAACGTGCAACTTGTCTTGCAGGAGAAGTGTGACGTCAAGTTACCATGGTAGCCAAATTTCTGGTTGACAACAGTAGGGCCGAGATAAAGCAACGACGACTGCGACAGTAACGAGAACGGCAAAAAAACGCCGATAGGTTTAGATTAGCACGAAAACAACGAGCATCACGCTTTGTGGTACATTTCTTAGCCGTTGTTGCACGACTGCGACATGAAACTTCCTAATTTCACGACCCCGCTTTACGGAATTGGTGAACACAACACAAAAAGTTTCTTTTTCTTTTTCTAAACTGAGATACGGTCCTTCGGATTAATGCAGAAAATTTCGCCAACATTTGACAAAATAAATGAAATTAAATAAGATCGATGAAGTTTGCATGAAATCTCTACTTTCTGCAACAACTTCACTCAACCTGCAACAAACTAATTTGTTTCAAGACAAGTTTGAACGTGGGTGATAAAAACAGCAACATTGCCCTTCGACTCGTTTTGCAGCAATGTTGCAAAAAATAATTTGCACGTTTTAGTTGCCCGTTTCACTGGCCTTAAGATGACGGACCAGGGCAAAAGGTTAACAGAATGGGAAAGTTAATATGAAGGAGAGCTTGAACATTTTCTTTTTTTTTGCATTTTTGTGCAAAATGATTAAGAAACGTGAAAAGTACCTGAAAAACGTTCGTAGCAAATTAAGAAGGATTTAAGTCAGCAAACAAAAGTAATACTAACTTATCAATTAACAAGGAACTCCCAACCACAAAAAAGAAACTTTTAATTATAGAACTGATTAACTCTGGAATTTATTGTGTCTAACTTTTAAGTTGCTGTAAAGAGATCCCGTGTAGTTCAAACTAGATTCCTAGAGGTTTAGAGAACTAACGCTCTTTCAATAATTAGCGAGAGTATACCTGCCTTAGTTCAGCGATTACAATTACCGAATTTCGACTATAAATTAATTGTATTTGGTGGTCTTAAGAAAAAGATTAAATATATATCGAACATTTTTCATCTGAAATATTACTCAAATGAAATTGATTTACCAATTTTAGGTTTACGAACTAATCATACGATCATATTGATGTTGTTTTAAGAATTCATTGAATATATTAATTCATGTTCCTTATTCTGGAAAGCCTGTTTGGGAAAACATAATACGTATTCGTGTATGTAATAGTGTACTAGACTTAAGCACCAATGTTTAGATAACACATCAGTAAGATGTCCAGACACAAAACTCTTATCAAACTACTTAACTTCGTGTTGCTATAAAATCAGATCAAAACGTCACGTGGTTTTACAATGCTCTTTAATAAGTATCAACTGGCTTGACAATTGAGGACCAATTCTTATGTCCCTGAGCCATTACTGCTAATTTGGCCATTGGCATTTGATTTAAAGGTTGATATCCAAAACAGGTCATGCCTTGGCGTCTGAAGCGTCACTGCTGGAACAGTTTCACGTGCGATTAAGAACTTACCCTGCGAGCAGAGGTTCCTTTCTGGCATGGTTTACAATAAGTCGTTCGTGGAGCTTTTCAGTCGCTTAGTTGGTAGTTTAACGGTTTTAATGCAGTCCACTGTGGTAAACATAATTTTGATAATGACTGACCACGACAATATGTACGCCGGGGACATATTCAGTCTCGTGTGACCAAAATGACGTTATTTTCTTTCCCGTCCAGGATAACGGTGAACGGTTACCGCAAAATCCCAGCCGTGAAATTTTATGTTTGTTAAAAACTAAAGTCAGAATTAGAATTTAAAACATCTCAATATTTCGTCTCCTTACACTCTGCACCGCTTGATGAACATTATACACTGAGGAAAGTACTAAGAAATTTTAGAGCAAATGGTGGCATGTGAAAATATTTCCAAAGGATTAATTTAAATGGTAACATTATAAGTTAAAATCACCTTTAAACATCTCCACATGCAGGAAAATAAACTGTACTGCTAGAAGCCCATAACCCAGAGCGTGCCATACTTAGCATATAGCCAGGCAATGGCCTTTCCACAGACTGTTTTACGTTTAGCGTCGTTTTGGAGTACTTTTTTTCACCGAAAATAAAAGCATCGCTTCTTTTGTAATGTACTGCCTGTATGACAAAAAAAGCAAAGGTCATCAAACATCAACCTTACTATTTTCTGGTCTCCTATTATTGTCAGCTGTTCGACTGATTTGCAAAACTTAATTGATAGGAAAGGATTGGCGTGAAAATCGATCTAAACGTAAAATTGGTCTGTGAAATCACCCTGTTGCAGGGGCACAAGGGAGTTTTTCGCCCTGCGTTATAACCTCCCAGTGCCTGTTTCTAAAAAGGCCTAGTAACTTTTCGGGCCCGAAGGCAATTTCTTAAATTAAAATCTCTCTCTGTTGAATAGCAGCACGTTCTTAGCTCACGAACCAGTCAATGCTGCTTCGTTAACTGATAATTCTATTTTCCCCTTTTGTAAAATTATTGAAACTTTGATCTTGAATGTAAACACGGAAAACATGAAACAACTTTCCGGGCCCGAAAAGTTACTAGCCGGCCGGGAACTTCGAGAAACGGGCCCCGGTCGGGTACTGCTCAGTAGCTTTCATTTAACGCCATAAGTGAATATGGGCATGTAAAGTGATCAAACTGAGGAAGACTTTAAAAGAGAGGTACGAGTTCCCTCCGAATTATATCGCCTGGTTCTCTTTCGCAGACCTGCAGCCTTGCGAAAATCGGGTTTTCCTAAGATATATAAACACGGGTTGATAAGAGAAGTCAAAAGCCTCAGCCAATAAAGGATAATTACAGCATGGGTGCTTATATCAAGAAACTGTTCCTTGAGAACTTGTTGAAGTTGTAGCAGGTAATATGGGACCCAGCAAATGACGAAAACAAGTAACATGACCAAGAAGACCGTGGCAACTTTCCATTCCTGTCTGGTGCTTCGACGAGTTTCTTGCCATCCAGGCGTGTTGTGCTTCTGAATGTTCATGGTCTGCCTGTGCACCTCATAAAGAATGCGTGCGTAGGCAAAGGCCATGAATATCACTGGAAGACCAATAACAGCCACGAACAGTGTGATGTCGTAGATGACTATGATACGTGTGACTTCTGCAGAGTGGTCCATTGTGACGTCCTCGTTTAAATTGGTCCAGGCGAGCTGAATCAGCGCCACAAGCATGGAGAAGAGCCAGATCAATGCGATTAGTTTACCGCCCCGTCGCTTCGTTACCCACGACTGGTAACGCAGGGCGTAGATGATGCAGATGTAACGGTCGACTGTCATGGCTAAGATATGAAGCACGGTGGACACGGAGATAAACACAATCACCACCAAATCGGCTACACAGAAGCCGGTCTTTATTAAGATGTTACAGGATAGAAGGAGAGGGATTGAGATCGCCCCCGTGCAAAGATCAGACACTGCCAAACTAGTCAAGATGTAATTAGTCACTGTACGTAGGCTTCTTTTGGTCGCCACGAGCCAAATAACCCAGCTGTTAACAGCAATAACGAGGACAGCGATGACGATCTGGAATACGTCCCTGCCAGCGTGAAAACCCCCATCATGTAACAATTCTTCTGACTTGTTTCCTGATGCGTTTGAACAGTCCCGCGTTGCTATGCAGCTTGACAATTCCATGGTCTCTATGATTTTAAAATTCTTTGAAGAGTAAACCTTCAAATATCGGTCAAACTGTGAAGTAGAAAACAAATTACTGGTAAATAAACTTATCTTAGAACACAAGCGGGCAGTTCTGGACAGCGCTTGAAATATGTCGGAATTTTGATTTTGAAGAATTTGGGATCACCCTTCTGTCAAAGGTTTGCGGGTTATTGACACAACTTTTGTTTTCTTTTAGCAATGAGGAAAGTAACAACATGGAGAAACGAATGCAATTATACTTAATCAATCAGTGCCGAAGAGATTTCAGCTGTTCAAACCTCAGGATTTCATCCACAGACTCAATATCTTCATGATCAATTAACTTCGAGAACGAAATGAAGCATGCGAAGAGCTCAATCGGTACTAAATTTAAAGTCGCGTATGTTTACAGTTCATGTTTAAAAATCAAAGTTAACTCCACGTAACAGAGATTTTAAAAGATGAANCTGTGAAGTACAAAACAAATTACTGGTAAATAAACTTATCTTAGAACACAAGCGGACAGTTCTGGACAGCGCTTGATATATGTCGGAATATTAATTTTGAAGAATTTGGGATCACCCTCCAGTCAAAGTTGTGCGAGTTATTGACACAACTTTTGTTTTTCTTTTAGCAATGAGGAAAATAACTTATGGAGAAACGAATGCAATTATACTTAATCAATCAGTGCCGAAGAGGTTTCAGCTGTTCAAACCTCAGGATTTCATCCACAGACTCAATATCTTCATGATCAATTAACTTCGAGAACGAAATGAAGCATGCGAAGAGCTCAATCGGTACTAAATTTAAAGTCGCGTATGTTTACAGTTCATGTTTAAAAATCAAAGTTAACTCCACGTAACAGAGATTTTAAAAGATGAAAAATACAAAACTTGAGACCAATTGAAGACGATAAAACCAGAAAATAGGTATAAGTATATGTTGGAGGCCTTCTTACCACTACAGCGGGACTAACTCGTTTGATTTTGCTGGCCTATATCATTGAGAGGCATAACCTGTTAATACGTGCATGCTGAACATTTATTAGAACGATTGTGTATACGGATGCTATGCAAAGGGGCTTATATTAAATTTGTCACTTGTCAATAAGCAGACAATGAATGCTTTTAACTTTTGCAAACAAGTATTGTATACCGAGCGAGCTCTATTCAAAATTCCATTATCTTCACGAAATTCCACATAAGCTATGGGGTAAATTGTTAATGGAATCCGCCCTTTTATAGATGCTTTCATTTTGTTTGCACCTAATCAATACACAATTAAAAATGAATGTCTTCTTTAATACACACAACATGGGTGGTTTGATTTAAGTTAATCTAAAATTAAGTGAAATATAGTTGACAGGCTTTACAAATTCTCAGACAATACTGAGAAAATCAAGAAAAAAAATAATAAATGTCTCCGTTTAAATGTCATTAAGAGGCTTGCTTCTCGAAAATCCGGTTGACTTTTAAACATTATATTCTTAAATCAAATTATAGATACCTATTGTTGTGCAAGCTCAAGCCAATCCAGTTTCCACTTGTATGAAGCCAAGTAAACATTGCAGATAATCAGATTAAACCAACCTTCACGGACCTGGACTCGAAAACTGGATATTGAGACTTCTGAGAAAACAGGCCCTTGGCCCGTCGAGCCCTTTTGGGTTCAACTTATCTTTCAAAAAAAGATTTGGTTTATCTCCAGCGGCTAAAATTGATAACACCATGGAGCGTGGTATCTTTATATGTCGCGATCTTGTTCATTTTTTTTATGAGAAAAACAAATAAATTTAGCCACTCGGGACCAGCTACCAATATGAGTAAAACATGAAAATATTGGCCTAGAAGAAGGAGCGCATGGTAGTTGGAGTCTTTTAACACAGTTCAGACGTCTAACCGCTTTTCATGTTCAAAGTTTATCTATGTTTTTGAAACTTTAAACAGCTCCTGAGGCATTGTGTTTGTTACAAATCTGTTACTTTTTCTTTTAATAGTTATGCCATTCCTAACATTATGCTCAACACATGCAATGGACTGCGGGCACGTACTGATTAGTTTAAGACCCAGTCAGTATGTTGCTGTTTATTACGCTCTTTCTGATTCCGTGGATGAAGATCTTAAGTTATAGATTCAAATTAAGTTACCGAAAAGTGTTTTTCTGATGCTCTGTTTTTATATCTTATCAGTCTAGCTTTTTAGCACTGTTCGTAGGCGAAATCACAAAGTTTTACCATTTTAAAGTGAGAGTTACTCTCTTGTGGTGTTTTTGATTATGGTGTTTTAAAACTTATTGATTGAGTATGTCAAGGCAATCGTAAGTGTTACCATGGAAATGAACGCTAGCGAGGCGTTTTTTTATGGTACTGTTTTAGTTGTCTATCATTGCGGATTTTCCTAGAGAGCCGAAAATGCAGTCGTGAAAGTCTGTTTGTTTCTTATGAACCCTACATCAGTGCTGACTATCGAATTCTGAGTATCTCGTACCTGTCACTGCACGACAGCTTTGACCGGTGTTTTTTGGTTTGTAATTTAGTTTGCTTATTGTTATCGTCGTTGTTTTTCTGTCCACTTCATGATTAGACTTAAGGTCACGTTTATACTACACCGAACAGCTTTTGTGCTGACACAAAAAGCCCCATCCGGCCCTATCGGGTCATTATGCGTTTCTGGGAAACTGCCCACCCACCCCTCCCCTGAGCCAACATTAACACTTACCTCTTACTTAAGGCAAAATGTTGGCTCAGGGGAGAGGCAGGTCGCGTGGGCAGTTTCCCAGAAAGCTAACAGCAACAGGACAGAATTGGAACAAGTGGTTTAAAAACATCAGTCGAACAGCGTGCTAGAGCGGTCTCGAGTCCTGGCTCCTGCTTATTCACTTCCGCTTATAGTACGAATGTTCGCAGTTCACCAAAGTGTTGCGCAGAACCAGTCCGATATGCGGCTCTCCACTCTCGAGATCGGCGAGGTGCTGCTTCAATCCGGATCCGTTACAGAATTCTCGCAGAAATCACCGTTCTTATATGTGTGAACAGAAGCCCTACCCAGCATGGTTTTCGTGCCGGCACAAGAGCTGTCCGATATACATAACAATTATTCACCGAAGTGGAGGTGGCTAGTGGTATTGTTGACCGAGTTCAATTAACTTCGAGAACGAAATGAAGCATGCGAAGAGCTCAATCGGTACTAAATTTAAAGTCGCGTATGTTTACAGTTCATGTTTAAAAATCAAAGTTAACTCCACGTAACAGAGATTTTAAAAGATGAACAATACAAAACCTGCGACTAATTGAAGACGACGAAACCAGAAAATAGATATAAGTATATGTTGGAGGCCTTCTTACCACTACAGCGGTACTAACTCGTTTGATTTTGCTGGCCTATATCTTCGATAGACATAACCTGTTAATACGTGCATGCTGAACATTTATTAGAACGATTGTGTATACGGATGCCATGCAAAGGGCTTATATTAAATTTGTCACTTGTCAATAAGCAGACAATAAATGCTTTTAACTTTTGCAAACAAGTATTATATACCGAGCGCGCTCTATTCAAAATTCCATTATCTTCACGAAATTCCACATAAGCTATGGTGTAAATTGTTAATGGAATCCGCCCTTTTATAGATGCTTTCATTTTGTTTGCACCTAATCAATACACAATTAAAAATGAATGTGCCTTCTTTAATACACACAAGATGGGTGGTTTGATTTAAATTAATCTAAAATTAAGTGAAATATGGTTGACAGGCGTTACAAATTCTCCGAGAATACTGAGAAAATCAAGAAAAAAAGTGTCTCCTTTTAAATGTCACCAAGAGGCTTGCTTCTCGAAAATCCGACTTTTAAACATTATATTCTTAAATATATAGATACCTATTGTTGTGCAAGCTCAAGCCAAACCATTCAGTTTCCACTTGTATAAAGCCAAGTAATCATTGCAGATAATCAATTTAAAACAACTTTCACGAACCCGTACCCGAAAACTGGGTATTAACACTTCTGAGGAAATCAGTTTCAATTTGTATGAAGCCAAGTAACTACATTGCAGATAATCAGATTAAACCAACTTTCACGGACCTGAACTCGAAAACTGGGCATTGAGACTTCTGAGAAAACGGGCCCTTGGCCCGTCGAGCCCTCTTGGGTTCAACTTATCTTTCAAAAAAAAAAGATTTGGTTTATCTTCAGCGGCTAAAATTGACAACACCATGGAGCGTGGTATCTTTATATGTCGCGACCTTGATTCATTTTTTTATGAGAAAAACAAATAAATTTAGCCACTCGGGAGCAGCTACCAATGTGAGTAAAACATGAAAATATTGGCCTAGAAGAAGGAGCGCATGGTAGTTGGAGTCTTTTAACACAGTTAAGACGTCTAACCGCTTTTCATGTTCAAAGTTTATCAATGTTTTTGAAACTTTAAGCAGATCCTGAGGCATTGTGTTTGTTACAAATCTGTTACTTTTTCTTTTAATAGTTATGCCATTCCCAACGTTATGCTCAACACATGCAATGGACTGCGGGCAAGTACTGATTAGTTTAAGACCCAGTCAATATGTTGCTGTTTATTACGCTCTTTCTGATTCCGTGGATGAAGATCTTAACTTATAGCATAGTTAATGGAGGTGACTGGTTATGAAGCCCGGCAAACATCAAAGGAGCAAACAAAGATGCCAAGATTTATGTTGGAAGGTCCACGACCCTGCACAATCTTTTGTTTTGCGTTCATACGTTATGCATGAATTACGTAACCAGCACGTTTCTATTGGTTAGTTCCTCAATACGGAGTAAACAACTATTGTGTTTTGTGCAGGGTCAAGGCCAAAAAAGAGAACAAAAACATACAACAAAGAACTTTGTCGGGTTTCAT